CATAGACGTGGTCCATGTAGCAAAGGCGTGACCATGAGACTTACTCAAAGGCTTTAGCATCGAATTAGTCCCCCAGACGCAAGGGAGGGCAAATAACGCCTCGAGCAGCACCGATGGGATGGCAGGGCTCAAGTGAAATACGTGAATCAGGGAGAAAGCAGACGGATCTTACGGAGCAAGAAAGAGACTGTGATAAGACATAGGGAAGGAGGACTGCGTAACAATATGGCAGACTCTGATTAACGTCAGCGTGGAGTGTCAAAGGTTTTCATGAATGCCGCTCAAAGGAGCACACTACACTAAATCGAAATAGATACTGTAAAAATTGTAATTGTGAAGGCGTGATAAAAGGATATAGGAAATGTCAATAACCCATGGCAGAAGGTGAGATACCACAACTGTTTAGCACACGTTTGGTCAAAGGATCGGCTTCACTTGCCTCTGACGAGTTGTTGTATGGTGCTAATGGCGGGACTCATTGACGATGCCGGTGAAACGTCTGGGAATGTACCACGTCCACGGTCCGACTTTGGAAATGATAATGCATATACTGGACTCCGGACTAGGTGCATTCATATAGGTCTTCCTACCAATATGACCGAGTTGCGAAAAAAAGGTATCGTAAATTTACATGAGTGGATATGAATATTTTAAGCAATTATGGATTCAGATATATTGCGTACGTTTAGAGCAGTCTGAGCCACCTGACGCAAGGCTTCAGAGCCCATATCTTCTACATGGTCCTCCATCATCGTAACAAGAGTAGACATTCCTACAGGGAAGCGACCAACGAGCTGGTAGGTACGCCAGATGTCTGAATTTAGAAGGGAAGAGAATATATTCTGTAGGCAGATGTAAGAAAATAGCTCATCGTCACTTATGAATTAATAATATAAAAAAGGTATAATAAGTATAAAACCATTTAAATTTCTAATCTTTGTAAAGTTATGCAGGGATAGAGAAAAATTTATAACCTAATATCGTAGGCAATATGATCGATTTCACAAGTTAACACAAAAAAAGAGGTATCATGATAGTGATATAACCTAAGTAACACATTGATAGTTAATAGCAAAATATATTATAATATAGCCAAAGTTACTAAGTAAAATGGCTAAGAATATGAAAAAAGTGATATCAAAGAGGATCCCAAGCAAAAACAATAGAATAGAACTAAATTGATAGAAGAATGGCTATTGAAGGCAGTAACATTGTTGAAAGTATTATTCATAAAAATAAGGAAGATAAAATGATATCGAATCAAGGTAAATAAACTAATACAATCAGGGTGTTTAAATGCGATTAATAATGAGTAAAACTTAATATACCCTCTTCGCGATCCTCATTAAGTAAGTTGGCAAATTCCCGTGTGAGCCTATCAATGTGTTCTCCGATCAGGAAATGCTCACAAGATCGAATGAGCTTTGGCAATGTGCTTACATGCAAATATGCTTGCACACGCATTCTCTCTTCATTTAACCGAGCACCAACCTGAAGGGCAATATAATGGTAATACAACAATAAAGAATGAAGAGTACTCAGTTCTGTAAAATAAGGATATTATCTAATACCTTTTGTAAATAATCAGTAACAGGATTAGATTGCAAAAACTGAGCGCTCTCAAATGTATAAAATCTTTCGGTTGCAGTGAGAAAATGACGTTCAAAATATTCTTGGTAAATAGAAAGATCGGAGCGTCCCTCTGTTGTAAGTGTAATAGAGACAGGAGATAATCCAGGATTAATGGCGATGCAATTAGAGTCGGAAGAGATTGCTATGCCACCCCCAGCTCTGGAAGAAGTCATGGAATTTCCTAGGTTTCCGGTGGTCACATTAGCCATTTGAATACTTTGTCGTCCTGCCCAATGAGATTGTACACTGGGTCCTGACAAAGCCTGAATAATTAAAAAAGTATTAAAGGCACAAACTAAAACTAAAAGATGGAATCAAGAAAAACGGTACCCATTCGGGATGTCGCACCCCCGGAGACATATGGAGTGGCGAGGAAGAAGGTAGAAGGCTAGTTGGCTGAAGTTGGCCATGCGATGGAATTCCAGTCGGTCCTGAACCAGTTTGGCAAGATGTAAGCGGTGGATGCATAGACGGAGAGCTTGC